CCTCAGTAAGAAGGGACTTGATGGGCTTGGACAACGGCTGGGGGGGGGTGAAGGCAGAACAGTGAGGTTTCTGGACACTCCTGAGGTGCCTCAAAGACACTAGTCCTCAGTAAGAAGGGACTTGATGAGCTTTGGAGGAAGCCCATGTCCTCTACAGCTCTGGGGGAGGGGGAAGGGCAGAACAGTGAGGTTTCTGGACACTCCTGAAGTGACTCAAAGGTGTTAGTCCTCAGTAAGAAGGGACTTGATGGGCTTGGACAACGGCTGGGGGGGAGGGCAGAACAGTGAGGTTTCTGGACACTCCTGAGGTGCCTCAAAGACACTAGTCCTCTGTAAGAAGGGACTTGGTGAGCTTTGGAGGAAGCCCATGTCCTCTACGGCTCTCAGAGGGGGGAGGGCAGAACAGGGAGGTTTCTGGACACTCCTGAAGTGTCTCAAAGACGCTAGTCCTCAGTAAGAAGGGACTTGATGGGCTTGGACAACGGCTCTGGGGAGTGGGAGGGCAGAACAGTGAGGTTTCTGGACACTCCTGAGGTGCCTCAAAGACGCTAGTCCTCAGTAAGAAGGGACTTGGTGAGCTTTGGAGGAAGCCTGCCATGTCCTCTACGGCTATGTGTGTGGGGGGGGAGGGCTGAACAGGGAGGTTTCTGGATGCTTCTGAGGCGGCTCAGAGGCGCTAGTCCTCAGTAAGAAGGGCCTGGATGGGCTTTGGAGGAAGCGCGCCCTGTCCTCTCCTCCCTGCCCCCTCCTCGGCTTTCTTTTGGGCGGCTTTCCTCTTTCACCACCCTCTCCTTTCTGAACCCCAGGAGGGGCAGAGTGTGAGTGTGGGAGCCAAGCTGGAGAATGCCCTGATAAGCCATGGGCTCCCGCAGCAGTAGCAACGCTGGCTCTGGGGGCCGGGAGAACCAAGGCGGCTGGTCTCAGAGGGACTCGGGCATCCTGCGCGGCGGAGACGAGGACGACGAGGATGTGGATCTGGCCCAGGTACTGGCATACCTACTGCGCAGGTAACTCCACCTCCCCCCTGCCCCCTTTCTGTCAAACCCTAGCTTGGGGGAAAAGCAGCTTCCCGGTGGGGGCAGGTCCCGAGAGGGGCTTTTCCAAAAGGAAACTGGACTTCCTTGCCTTCTTTCTTCGGGAAAAAAAACGCTGCTGCTCGACCAAGAAGAGAATAGAGGTACCGGTAGTCCTCGACTTACATCCGTTCGTCTAGCGACTGTGCGAAGTGACAACGGCACTGAAGGAAGTGACTTCTGACTTTTTGCACACTTACAAGCGTTGCAGCATCCCTGTGGTCACCTGATCAGAATTGCAGACGTTTCGTGACTCAAGCTAGGTAACGTGATCAGTGCTAAAAGGGAGGGAGGTGTGAGTGAACTTCTAGCACTGATGATGTTACCTAGCTGGGTCATGAAACATCTGCAAGAAAACCAACCAAGCACAGAGAGCACCAGGGACCCAATAGTCCTCCTCCTCCTCCCACTCCTCGCAAACCCTACTGCTTCTAGCACTGATGATGTTACCTAGCTGGGTCATGAAACATCTGCAAGAAAATCACCAAGCTCAGAGAGCATCCCCACAGCCCTTTTCCTCCTCCTCCTCCTCCTCCTCCTCTTTGCAAACCCTACTGCCTTCTAGCACTGATGATGTTACCTAGCTGGGTCAAACAAGCACAGAGAGCACCAAGGACCCCACAGCCCTTTTCCTTTTCTTCTTCTTCTTCTTCCTCCTCCTCCTCCTCCTCCTCGCAAACCCCACTGCCTTCTAGCACTGATGATGTTACCTAGCTGGGTCATGAAACGTCTGCAAGAAAACCAACCCAGCACAGAGAGCACCAAGGACCCCTCATTTCAACCCTGAGCTACAAATATACTCCTCTATTGGTTAAAGCAGGCTAGCAAGAGAACGACACGCTGAGTACAGGGTAGCTCATTTAACGACTGTTCGAAGTAACAACAGCGCTGAAAAAAGTGACTTAACGACCGTTTTTCACACTGGTGACCGTCGCAGCACCCCTGTGGTCACGTGATCAAAATTGGCAACTTTATTTGTGACCGTTGCCGTGCCCTGGGTCACGCGATCGTGTTCTGCGACCTTCTGACAAGCAAAGTCAACGGGGGAAGCCAAATTCAGTTAGCAAGCTGTGTTAACTTTGACACCCGTGTGATTCAGCAGTGGTTCATTTAACAACGGTGGCAAGAACGGTGGTAAACCGGGGGCAAGACTCGGTTAACAACTGTCTCGCTTAGCAACAGAAACGTTGGGCTCCATTGTGGTCCAAAATCAAGGGTTACCTGTAAGAAATCTTTCCCACAAGGAACTAAAGGGTGCATTTAATACTGTTGGCTGAGCCTAAGTGAGGATTGTGTTATTTCCCAGAAAACACGTACGTCATAAAAGGAATCCATGACGGTCACAAGAGTTATGACTTAGATATAATTGCCCTCCTAATTGTTGAATTCAACTCTCACCAGAAGCCAATGGTGTTTATGCCATGTTCTGTTGTTTGCAGTGACCGTGCTCCTTAAAATCATCCTCAATTCCTTAACATTGTTATGTTTGCTTATGAAGAATTTGTGTTTGTGCCTTTGTACCCACTCTTGCACTCAGTTTTGATAAAGCATGCCCCTCTAGCTACCTTGCATAGGATAGGAGAAACGTTTAAGCATATAAAGTACTGTTACACTTAAGAATTTGGACCAAGGGATCAAGTACATATGAAAGATGGTATAGGGTTTCCTGCCTGAGCAGGGGGTTGGACTAGATGACCTTCAAGGTCCCTTCCAACTTTATCATCATCATTATTATTATTATTATTATTATTATTATTATTATTATTATTATTATTATTAAAGAGGAAATATAACCATTCCTTGTGGACAATGGCCTGACTGAAAAGAAAGACATTTGGGTTCTGCACTTCCCTAAGCTGGTTCCTTTCGTGATCTTGGTTAGTTGGAAAGATCTCGGCCACCCTTCCTGTCTTTTCAAGGAATCAAAGCAGCTGATTGGTCGTGCCAAATCCAAGAAGCCTTTCTGATTAATTAGCTTTCTGTCAAGAAAACCTGTGTGCGTTCAATTCCCTGGGCATGAAATTTCTGAGCCTGGTTCAAAAGCAGGCACTAAATAAACTGGGATAATCCCGTCTTTCCCAGTTTGCTGTCTTGGGTTTATATCACTCAAAAGCTGGAGACCAGCTTCCATTTTAGTGCCTGAACTTCGTGTGGAGAATATGTCATGTAGACTCCGCCTCTCCACTGGAATGTAGACTGCTCCATATTTCTGGTAGAGAAAAGTTCCCCGAGGAATAGGCTCCAGCACGAAGTCGTAAAGCTCGGAAGACTTAAAACTCTGATCCCAGGGACCAATCCAGGTTGAACTCCTGTCTTGCCCCTGAAAGCTTGAATGGATGCTTCATTTTTCTTAAGTCTTCTCCAGGGCTGTGGAGTCGGTAGATAAATGTTCCGACTCCGACTCCGACTCCTCAGTTTTTTGTACTTCCGACTCCGACTCCCCGACTCCGACTCCTCTGTATTAATATGCGAATGTATTTTATACATTCCTTGAGATACAAGTGTCTCTAGTCCTGCAAAAAACATATTTACTGAATCCCTTCTCAGTGAGAGGCTAGGTTACCCATGGGCGCTGCTGCGTTCCCTGTAACAGCAGAACACAACACTATGGAAAGTATAAGTATTGCCGCTCCTAATTGTGCGTTGCGGGCCATATAGTGAAGCACATGAAAAGCATGCTTCTTCACGGTCACTTAGCGTGTTCGTTTTGCGGTTACGTGAGGCACTGCATGCATTGGTCTTTTATTCTCACAGTAGAGAAGTCATTCATTATAACTTTTTGTGAATTGGGACGTTTAAACTTGCTTTTTTTTTTTATTCCAATCTAAATTTAGTAGGAGTCGGAGTCGGTGCATTGTTTGCCGACTCCGACTCCAGGTACCCAAAATTTCCTTCGACTCCGACTCCACAGCCCTGGTCGTCTCCTTGAAGCCTTCAGAACAGCGTTTGCTTCAGGTGAAATAGTCCCACGGCTGCTCGGTTAAAACGATTGGAGAATGAGAGAAAACAGGAAGCGGAAATACTGCTCCGTTCCTACGAATGGACTGTAGGGACAGGCAAACTCTACGGCAGGGCTTTTCAACCTTTTCACCCATTGTACCACTTTTAGGAGATGGCAACATCCGAGGACCCCCAGTCGCCTAGCAAGGTGTCAAAAACTTGATGACCAAAAAAAAAAAAAAAGGAAAAAAGTGATAAAGTACAGGTAGTCCTCGACTTACAACAGTTCGCTTAGTGACTGTTCGAAGTTACAATGGCCCTGAAAAAAGTGCCCCCCCCAAGCCACAGCCGAGCAAGACACCTACTTGCCCGCCCGGCCGCGCTCTTCCTCCTGTCCGAGGTTTTCATTGTTGTGAGCATTTATGTTGGGGATTGGCAGCGGGAGTGGGGTGGGGGGTGTTTGATTTTTATTCCCCCCATCTGCTGGGTGGTTGCAGCAGGTTTTGGTCACTTCACATGACCCTGGGACACCGTGACCGTCATAAATATGAATCGGTTGCCAAGCATCTGAATGTAAGTCACAAGACCCTGGAGATGCTGCAACATTCCAGCTGATCGGCGCTTCTTCTGGGCTCAGCAGAAGCACCAGGATCAGCGCCGAGCTCCAGCTGGAGCCTGGCGCTGATCCTGGCGCTTCCGCTGAGCCCTGACAGCCCTGAAGAAGCGCCGATCAGCTGGAAAGCGGCGCTGATCCTGGCGCTTCCGCCGAGCCCTGACAGCCCTGCAGCTCTGGCCGTCTCTCGCTCAGGCTTGTGCGGTGCTGCCACCAGTTCAGCTCATTCCCCTCGCCCGCTACCACTTTTCTAGGATGGTCGCGTACCACCAGCCAGGTGCCAATGTACCACAGGTGGTACCCGTACCCCTGGTTGAAAAGCCCTGCTCTACGGTTTCGAAGGACTTTAGTACTTGGGTCAATACGTTCACGGAGCAATGGGTTTGTAATGGCTAACGCTTCTCTTTCTCTCCTTCCTGCTTTCCCCAGAGGACAGTTTCACCTCATGCAGGGAGGAGGGGCAGCCAGCAGCGCCCGGGTGTTCCAGGCTGTCTCGGATTCCGACGACGACACTGACAGTGCTTGGGAAGGACGTTTAGGAGACCAGTACAAACCCCCAGGTATCGCCGAGAAACTGAGAGTCGTTTTTCTTAACGTGGACAACAGCAGTAAACAAAAAATTCATACTTAAAGGAAAGCTGGCTGTGCAAGATTAGATCTCAGGATTCTGAATGTTGTAATTTCTCCTTTCCTCGCTCTGAAAAATCCTGACCTTAACCCTGCCAGGGTTGTTAGTGATCCAGACTTCTGTCGAAACGCTAAATTTGGCCTCAGGCAGAACTCCCGACATTTCAAGACAGTCATCAGACTGAAACTAAACGACATAGATATCCATAAAAAAAGATCCAAAGCTTGCCTGGGGTTTATTTTATAACGCGGTCTCTCTCTCTCTCTCTCTCTTGATTTTCTGCAGTGGATTTGACCCCAGACACACGGGAACTGGAGTACAACGAGATCAAAACACGCATCCAGTTAGCAACCGGCAGACTTGGGCCAGGGCGAGGCGCCTGTAACATCCCAAGGCTACTTTGCCAGGTATCCTGTTTTCGCTGTTCGAAGATGCTGGAAACAAATTGGTTCATTTTGCCTTAAATAATCAGGGTGGAAACAGGAGGAAGCCGTCATTTAAAATGGGTCTTCTACGGAAGGAAAGCCTCTGATCTGACTACCATATTCCTTTCCTCAGTCTGAATGTGAGGTTGCTGCTCAAGTCTGCTTTCTATTTTCTACTAAATCAATAGCTTTTAGAAGAGCAACTAAGATGATCCAAGGCCTGGAGACTAAAACATACGAAGAACGGCTACGGGTTTGGCTAGTCTAAAGAAAAGAAGAAATAGGGGAGACATGATAACAGGGTTCCAGTATCTGAGGGGCTGCCACAAGGCAGAGGGGGGCAGGTTGTTCACCAAAGCACCGGAGGGCAGGACGAGAAACAATGGTTGGAAACTAACCAAAGAGAGAAGCAACCTGGAATTAAGGAGAAACTTCCTGACAGTGAGGATAATCAACCAGTGGAACAGCTTGCCACCAGAAATCATGGGCGCTCCATCACTGGAGATTTTTAAGAAGAGGCTAGACACTTGTCTGGGATGGTACTATCGCTGCTTCTGCTTCAGCAGGGGGCTGGGCTAGAAGACCTCCAAGATCCCTCCCAGATTCTATTATTCTATTTTTCTATTCTATTCTATTCTATTCGGTATGTCTAGCTTAATGAAAAGAAGGACGAGGGGGGACATGATAGTAGTGTTCCAATATCTCAGGGGCTGCCCCAGAGAAGAGGCAGTCAAGCTATTCTCCAAAGCCCCTGAAGGCAGGACAAGAAGCAACAGATGGAAACTCATCAAGGAGAGAAGCAACCTAGAACTAAGGAGAAACTTCCTGACAGTGAGAACAATTAACCAGTGGAACAACCTGCCTCCAGAAGCGGTGAATGCTCCAACACTGGAGGTTTTTAAGAAGAGACTGGACAGCCATTTGTCCGAAATGGTATAGGGTTTCCTGCCTGAGCAGGGGGTTGGATTAGATGACCTCCAAGGTCCCTTCCAACTTTACTACTACTACTATTATTATTATTATTATTATTAATTATTATTATTATTAATTATTATTATTATTATTATTATTATTATTATTATTATTCCATTCTATTCTATTATTCTATTATTCTATTCTATTCTAGTTTTGCCCTAAAAGTGCTTTGCGGCTTCAGAATAGGTCAGCGATGTCCTTATTCGTGAGGAAGAACCTTACATTTTGTCAAGAAACGGAGAGGAAGATTTCAGAACTCATGTCTTTAGGCTATTTTGGTTCCCCTCAAAAAAGAGTCTTCTGCCATCCAAGTTCTGGGGCAGAATCAACCCTAACGCTAACTTGGGTTTTCCGGATTGTTTTCCTGCTCCCGGAAGAGATCGTGAGGAGGTGCAATGTAACGCTCCCTCTTTTCCTTTCCCGCAGAGGGAGCGAGGCCTTTGCCACAACAGCAGCTTCTCAGCCGGGGAATGTTCGCGGATCGTGTCACAGTAAGTACCTGATCAGAGAGAGAGATGTGTGTATGTGTGTGTTAAATGTAAACTCTCAAGACGAGCAACAGAAGAGTGGTTTTAGACGAGAATATCTGCTGGAATAATCTGTGCCTCCTGTTTGCTCTTTTCCCAGCTTCCTTCCCAATCACCTGACCATCACAGACTCCTATTCGCAGAAAGCCTTCTGCGGAATCTATTCCCGCGATGGACAACTCTTTATGTCTGCTTGTCAAGGTACCTCGCAAACTTTTTTTTTTTTTAAACAAAAATGGTTCCTGTTTTAGATCGTTGTCAGAGCGTGCACACTCTTATTAGGTTGAAATAACCCAGGAGTAAACACAGTAAACCGTGGTCTATATTAAATGGTGGTTTATCTTACACTGTCTACAATAGCATACACCAGGAAGAGTATACGTTTGTTGTTGTTAGTTGCGAAGTCGTGTCCAACCCATCGCGACCCCATGGACAACGTTCCTCCAGGTCTTCCTGTCCTCTACCATCTTCTGGAGTCTCTTGAAGCTCACGCCTACTGCTTTAGTGACTCCATCCAGCAACCTCATTCTCTGTCGTCCCCTTCTTCTATTGCCCTCCATCTTTCCCAGCATTAGGCTCTTCTCCAGTCAGTCCTTCCTTCTCATAAGGTGGCCAAAGTCCTTGAGTTTCAACTTCAGGATCTGGCCTTCTAAAGAGCAGTCAGGGTTGATCTCCTCTAGGACCGACCGGTTTGATCGCCTTGCGGTCCAGGGGACTCGCAGGAGTCTTCTCCAGCACCATAGTCCAGAGGCCTCCATTCTTTGGCGCTCAGCCTTTCTTATGGTCCAGCTTTCACAACCATACATTACCGTCGTAAGTCGAGGACTTGTGCGGGAAGGTAGGAAAACTGACGTGGTCGTTTGCTTGGCTCAAGAGCGTACTTTCTGTTCCCCTTTTCTCTCCCCCCCCCCCCCCGCTTTCAGACCAGCGAATCCGCTTGTACGACTGCGCCTACGGAGCCTTCCGGAACATCCGGAGTATCAAAGCCCGAGACGTAGGCTGGAGCGTGCTGGACGTCGCCTTCACCCCCGACAGGACCCACTTCCTCTACTCCAGCTGGTCTGACTACAGTGAGTTATAGCACCCCGGGGAACCGGGTTTGCCTCCAGGTAGTCTGTACTAGCAGATTCCCTTGCTCCCTTCTCTCTTAGTTCACATCTGCAACATCTACGGGGAGAGCGAGACCCAGACAGCCCTGGACTTGAGGTAAAGAGGGGTACCCCGGCCGGGCCCGTTGAACAGCCGAGACCCCGCAACTGGTATAACGAATCTCTCTTTTTTTGCAGGCCCGACGAACGCCGCTTTGCCGTCTTTTCTCTGGCGGTCTCCTCAGAGGGAAGGGAAGTGCTCGGCGGGTAAGCTGGCTGTTCGGAAAACGGTCTTTTCCCCCCGTAAATCTTTTCTTTGGAGAAAAGCAAAGTCTGGTAGCTGAGGGCTCCCCACGGCCCACTATCAGTCTGTGGTCGATTCACAACCAGGCCGCGTGAGTGGCCAGATGCTGCATGTGCGCACAGCCCCCGTACGAGTGCGTGCCCGGCACCCACGGCCTCATCGAGCGAGCATTGCAGGCATTTGTCTCACTCGCACGAGTATCGGGCATTTGGGGCCTCACTCGCACCAGCATCGGCGCTTAGGAGCTCCACTCGCGCGAGCTTTGCGCCTCGCAGCCTCGTTGAGCAAGCGTTGCAGGCACTTGAGTCTTACTCGCACGAGTGTCGGTTCTCGGCCTCGTGCGAGCACTTGGGCTTCACTCGCTCGATCATGGCAGGCACTTGGGGCCTCACTCGCTCCAGCATCAGCGCTTCAAGGGCTTCACTCGCGCCAGCGTTGAGACTCGCAGCCTCGTTGAGCAAGCGTTGCAGGCACTTGAGCCTCACTCGCACGAGTGTCGGTTCTCAGCCTCGTGCAAGCACTTGGGCTTCACTCGCTCGATCATGGCAGGCACTTGGGGCCTCACTCGTGCCAGCATCAGCGCTTCAAGGGCTTCACTCGCGCCAGCGTTGAGACTCGCAGCGTCGAGCGAGCGTTGCAGGCACTTGAGCCTCACTCGCACAAGTGTCGGTTCTCGGGGACCTCGTGCGAGCGCTCAGGCTTCACTTGCTCCATCATGACGGGCACTTGGGGCCTCACTCGCGCCAGCGTCGGCGCTCAGGGGCTTCACTCACGCTTAGCGTTCAGACTCGCAGCGTCGTCGAGCGAGCGTTGCAGGCACTTGAGCCTCACTCGCACGAGTGTCGGTTCTCGGCCTCGTGCGAGCGCTTGGGCTTCACTCGCTCGATCATGGCGGGCACTTGGGGCCAGCATCAGGGCTTCAAGGGCTTCACTCGCGCCAGCGTTGAGACTCACAGCCTCGTCGAGCGAGCGTTGCAGGCACTTGAGACTCACTCGCAGGAGTGTCGTTTCTCGGCCTTGCGCGAGCGCTTGGGCTTCACTCGCTCGATCATGGCGGGTACTTGGGGCCTCACCCGCGCCAGCGTCGGTGCTCAGGGGCTCCATTCACGCTTAGCGTTCAGACTCGCAGCCTCGTCGAGTGAGCGTCGCAGGCCCTTGAGCCTCACTCGCACGATGCCTTTTGTGTGACCTTCCGACAAGCAGAGTCAACGGAGGAAGCTGGAATTCACTTAACAGCTGCGGGGATTCACTTAACAACCGCGGCAAGAAAAGTCATAAAAATGGGGCAAAACTCACTTAACAAACGTCTCACATACATTTTGGTCGTAAGTCAAGGCCAGGGCCGGCTTTAGTCTTCTTTTGCGCAGGGTTGTTGCCTAAGTCCTCCGGTGTGAGCATTGGGTGTGTTGTCAATCTCACGCAGTGACATTTTCATTTTTTATTCTCTGTTCACTCCATAGGGCCAACTACGGCTGTGTCTACGTGTTTGACATGGAGCAGAATAAGCGGACGCTTAAGGTACTCGGGGTTGGGACCTTCAGTTCTTTAGCACAGGGGTCCCCAGCCCCCCCATCCATAGACCGGTACTGGTCCGTGACCCATTGGGATCCGGGCCACGTAAACGGCAGGCAGGTGCATGAGTGTGTGCAAATAGGTGGGTGGGTGAATGAAACCATCCACTCCCACACAACCCCGATACTACTACTGCTCCTGCCTCGCCTAAAGCAGAAATGTCCAACTTTGGTAACTTTAAGACTTGTGGACTTCCAACTCCCAGAATTCCCCAACTGGCTGGCTGGCTGGGGAATTCTGGGAGTTGAAGTCCACGAGTGGAGTGGAGTGGAGTGTAATGGAATCTATTCTAGTCTATTCTATTCTATATTTTATTATTCTATTCTATTCCATTCCATTCCATATTGTATTACTCTATTCTATTCTATTCTATTCTGTATTCTATTCTATATTCTATTCTATTCTGTATTCTATTCTATTCTAATTCTATTTCTATTCCATTCTATATTCTGTTCTGTTCTATTCTATTCTATTTTCTATTCTATTCTGTATTCTATTCCATTCCATATTTTATTACTCTATTCTATTCTATATTCTATTCTATTCTTTATTCTATTCTAATTCTATTTCTATTCCATTCTATATTCTCTTCTATTCTATTCTATTTTCTATTCTATATTCTATTCTATTCTGTATTCTATTCTATTCTATATTTATTCTATTCTATTCTATTCTATATTTATTCTATTCTATTCTATTCTATTCTATTCTATTCTATTCTATTTTCTATTCTATTTTCTATTTTCTATTTTCTATTCTATTCTGTATTCTATTCCATTCCATATTTTATTACTCTATTCTATTCTATTCTATTCTATTCTTTATTCTATTCTAATTCTATTTCTATTCCATTCTATATTCTGTTCTATTCTATTCTATTTTCTATTCTATTTTCTATTTTCTATTCTATTCTGTATTTTATTCTATATTCTATTCTATTCTATTCTGTATTCTATTCTGTATTCTATTCTATTCTGTATCCTATTTTATTCTATTCTATATTCAGTTCTTTTCTATTTTCTATTCTATTCTATTCTATATTCTATTCTATTCTATTCTATTCTATTATGTATTCTATTCTATATTCTATTCTATATTCTATTCTGTTCTGTATTCTATTCTATTCTGTATCTATTCTATTTTATTCTATTCTAATTCTATTTCTATTCCATTCTATATTCTATTCTACTCTACTCTATTCCATTCCATTCCATTCCATTCTATATTCTATTCCATTCCATTCCCCATTGGGAACTGGGCCGCATAAATGGCAGGCAAGCACATGAGCGTGTGCAAATAGGTGGTGCATGAAACCATCCACTCCCCCCCCCCCCGATACTAGTGCTGATCCGTGCAGCCAGCATGATTCTCTCCCTAAGGACCAGCTCATTGTCCTTCAGGCTAAGTAAGGGAAGCCTCATTGGAGGCTCCAGAGCTCGAGTGCCTAACAATGTTGAGCGGGGGTCCTCCAGAACTCTTCTGACTTGCCCAGTGTGGCCTCTAATAGAGTTTTTAGCTGCCTTTTGGGGCAAGGGAACCCCATCCAATTTGGGAAATAGGCTGTGTATCTGTGCTCTCCCGCTGAAATCCGGGCCCTTCCTCGGATCGGTTTACTTTGCTCCCTCCCCCCCCCCCCCAGATTGAGGCCCACGAAGACGACGTGAATGCCGTCGCCTTTGCAGACAACAGCTCCCACATCGTCTTCTCGGGGGGCGACGACGCCATCTGCAAAGTGTGGGACCGGCGTACGATGCGGGAGGACGACCCCCGGCCTGTGGGGATCTTGGCAGGCCACCAGGATGGTATCACCTTCATCGACAGCAAAGTAAGCCCGGCTACTCCTGCTTGTAGCCTAAAGCAGGCAGGTCCAACCCGGGTAACTTTTAAGGTTTGTGGACTTCCAACTCCCAGAATTCCCCAACTAGCTGGCTGGCTGGGGAATTCTGGGAGTTGAAGTCCACGAGTGGAATGGAATTATTCTATTCTAATCTAATCTAATCTAATCTATTTTATTCTATATCTATTTTATTCTACTCTACCCTACCCTACCCCATCCCATCTCATTCCATCCTTCTATTCTACTCTACTCTACTATATTCTATATTCTGTATTCTATTCTTATTCTAATTCTATTCTACTCTATTCCTTATTGTATTCTTATTCTATTCTGTATCTATTCTATTTTATTCTACTCTACTCTACCCCATCCCATCCCTCCATTCTACTCTATACTCTACTCACTATATTCTATATTCTATTCTTATTCTAATTCTATTCTACTCTATTCTATATTATATTATATTCTTATTCTATTTTAATTCTATGCTATTCTATTCTGCAATTTATTCTATTCTGTAATTCTATTCTATTCTATTCTGTATCTATTCTGTATCTATTTTATTCTACTCTACTCTAGCCTAGCCTACCCCATCCCATCTCATTCCATCCTTCTACTCTATTCTACTCAACTATATTCTATATTCTGTATTCTATTCTTATTCTTATTCTTATTCTATTCTACTCTATTCCTTATTGTATTCTTATTCTATTCTATTCTGTATCTATTCTATTTTATTCTACTCTACTTTACCACATCCCATTCCATCCCATTTCATCCCTCCATTCTCCTCTATACTCTACTATACTCTATTCTACTCACTATATTCTATATTCTATTTTTATTCTAATTCTATTCTACTCTATTCTATTCTTATTCTATTCTTATTCTATTTTAATTCTATGCTATTCTATTCTGTAATTTATTCTATTCTGTAATTCTATTCTATTCTGTATCTATTCTATTTTATTCTACTCTACTTTACTGTTCCAGTTCCATTTCTGTCTACTTTTCTGTTCCTTTTTCTGTTCCTATGCTTACCAAGGGTGCTTACTGCAAGGAAGTAGAGGGTTTGCTGAACTGGTGTAACAAAAACAGCCTCGTTTTAAACATTGGGAAAACTAAAGCGATCCTTGTCGGTTTAAGAAAAGGCAGGCACAGCCAGACACCTCCGTGTATCAATGATTCACCTGTGGAGGCGGTTAGCAGCATCAAGTTTCTGGATACGCAGCTCACTAGCCGGCTGGTTTGATCGGCATCCTGTCGTATTGCAGTCCTGTCTGGTTTGGAAGCATCCCTGCTTCAGGCAGGAAAAAAAATCCCAAATTAAGGGTCCTTTCAGATACAGCCCCCCCCCCAGATGTGATCCTTTAGAGACAGCCTTTAAAAAAAAAGCTTCGGTTTGTTTGGAAGTTTAGGATGGAGAAAGTCAAAATGTTCCCTTCAGCTGCTGCTCTTTCCCTCTTTCCTCAGGGAGATGCCCGCTACCTCATCTCCAATTCCAAGGACCAGACCATTAAGCTGTGGGACATGCGCAAGTTCTCGGGCCAGGAGGGCCTGGAAGCATCCCGGCACGCTGTCACCCAGCAGATCTGGGATTATCGCTGGCAGCAGGTGCCCAAAAAAGGTAGGCCCCCCCTCTGGAAGGGGAGGGCAGGGTATGTCGCTAGTCCTCAAATTAACGACCGCAATTGAGCACCAGATTTATGTTGCCGAACGAGACATTTATTCGGCAAGTTTTGCTCCCATTTTATCACTTTTAGTGCCACGGCTGTTAAGCTGAATCACTGCAGTTGTTAAACGAGTCACTCGGTCGTTAAGTGAATCTGGCTCCCCCCCCCCGTTGACTTTGCTCGGCGGAACGTCGCAAAAGGGGATCACAGGACCCCGGGACACGGCGACCGTCGTAAATATGAACCAATCGCCAAGTGTCCGCATGTTGACCACATGGGAGGCTGCCACCGTCGTTAAGTGTGCAAAACAGGCATAACTCCCTTTTTTCAGTCCTGTTGTCACTTTGAACAGTCGCTAAACAAACCGTTGTAAGTCGGGGAGTACTGTACATGTGTGGCAAGGAGAACCTTAATCTAGCCCCGGAGTGCCCAACCTTGACAAGACCTTTAAGACCTGTGGACAAGCTCCCAGAATTCCCCATCAGCATGGCTGGCAGGGGAATTCTGGGAGTTGAAGGCCACCCATTATAAAGCATTCTGGCTGGGGAATTCTGGGAGTTGAAGTCCACCCATCTTTTTTTTTTTCAATATAAAATTTTTATTGTTTTCATCATAAAAAAAAAGAAATACATCACAGATATTACACAATGTTATATCCCATCCCCCCGCCCCCCGGACTTCCCAAACCAAACCTAGGCTAATATTCAAATACAAGTAAACAAATATTAATATCTCTAACTCCAAACTCTAAACTTAAACAATCCATCTCCTCC